TAATCTTCGCCCTCTAAAGATCATAAAAAATAGAGCACATTCAGTACTTTCATAAATATATTCGTGATTTAGACACTCGAAAACATAAAAATTTGCAAAAATATCCAGGGCAACATAATTTTTTTTTGTAGACCTGTGTTCATGGTATGAGAGGATTTTTCCGGCATATTTTGTTGCGGGAGTTCTTGTCAACAAAGGCAGTTACGGTCGAGTAGAATTTTTTCCAGAGAATATCAACGTCATCACAAGCGTTAAACAGTTGTGTCCAATCGATGGTAGAAAGTTCCTCGGATAACTGATCAAAGTTGATTATTTTGAAAACTTCGGTTTCGTACTTGTTTGGCATGTGAATGTTGAGAAGATCAGTTGCGTAGATCACTGCATGGTCCGATAATCCAATAGGTGGTAGGATTTCATGATCAGTGATGGTGTTTTCATCGTTGGTGGAAATGAGGTCAAGAACAAATGGCTCGTTGTTGATACGGAATATAGTTGGTTCAGTAATGAGTTGAAAAAGGTTTGAATCGGCAACGAAATGCATGAAATCACTCGTGGCGCTATTTGTGTCAGGTATTCTATTAATGGGCCAAGTGATATTGGGGTAGTTGAAGTCAACAGCAATGATGAGGTTGTCAAGGGTCGATAGTTGATTCAAGTAATTGATCAATTGGACACTGGCCTCATGGCATCCATCATTAGGTCTGTAGATACATACAATATTTATGCTGACAGTTTCCTTGGTAAGGCTGACATGTAAGGCCTCCACGCCTTGGATCACGGCAATGTCTTGTTGAACAATCAATTGTTAAACTTATAAATTCAAGAGTGGAGGCCTGCATAAATCGAGTTAGTCTTTACTTATTTTGCATTTTGATTCTTGAAGATGTTTATATATTGCAGAATTTTTGCAAATGTCTCCCCCTCGTGAAATACATATTAGATAATAGTAATACAAATCTATATATGACTACCGAATTTTCCAATCTCCTGGATATATATCTTCAAATATAATAATAATTTTTATCAACAATACTCAGGCCTCCCTATGGGCTCACTATCAAGTCCCGTTTTGGCAGAAATTTTCATGTACACACTAGAAAATACTGGCATCCTTATTAACCCCTTTTATCAAAAACATGTTGCGTTTTGGTTCAGATATGTTGATGACATACTGGTTGGTTTTGATGGTTCAAACAGACAAATTAATCAATTTTCAAACTTTCTCAATAGTATGCATAACAAAATCAAATTCACAGTAGAAATCGAACAAAACAAGAAGCTTAACTTCCTAGATTTGATATTTCAAGAGTCAATAACGGTTTTCAATTCAATGTCTAAGTATCAAGAATAGTATCAAGAATAGTAAGAATTTTCCCACCTTATTATTGTTGACTGAACATTGGTGTAATACCAACGAACCGATTCATATACTGGACTACTCAGTTATATGTAGAAGCTCCCGAACAGACCCTAATTATGGAGGTACAGTAATTATGATCAATGATAAAGCAGCTACTGAATACTCTTTCATNTTCTTGGAACCAACGAGGGCCCTTCGAACGTCATCCGGGGTTATCGGGTTGCGCAGTTCATTGGGCTCAGGCTGTCGAAGCTCTCTGTTGAAAGCTTCGAACTGCGCTAGGGCTGGAGTGTCTAAGTTGAGTGGCTGCGGGTGTTCATAGATATCCTTCCAGAAGGATTCCACCTGATCAGCAGTCGGCGGATTATCCACAACACGTGGAGGCTCTTGGAATAAGCGAGAAGGTTTCTCGCTATTATTATTATTATTGAGTAAATTATACTCAAACTGCAGAAGGGTTATTTCGAACTCACGCATAATATCCAATTTGATATCATCACTCAATGCTTCTGCTTCTTCATTTACCCAAATAACTCGAAGTTTGATTTTTTTTTCTAAATTAGGCGAGAATTCCTTCTGTGTCCATGTTATCTCCATAACCAATTTTTTTATGAAATGAACAATAATCAAGCATTCTATTTGTATCCATAACCAATCATCTGTTGCTATCTTATGCATTTCTGATTAATAAACTA